GGTCATATTTTTCTATTATAAAAGCATTTTTGCGATAAAATACATTGGAGTAAATAATTTGGTAATTATTTAACATTTTTTGTCCTTTCCTATTTGTTTTTGGCTACATTAAAGCATTTTTTTGAAAATATACAGTAAGGTTCCATATTACCACCCGATTTTCTCTAAGCCTACTTTCGGACTTTTTGTACAAAAGCCTTTAAAAATCATACTTATAATTACACTAGCGAAAAATCCAATTAGGAACATTTAGATTACTAGTTACCAGTACTTTTCGCACAAAAAATGTGAATGTAGTTATGATACCTTGTTTACAATTCACTAAAATGTAGTTGGGGTTCCATAATACCACCTTCTCCTCTATATAAATATGTGGTTCGACATTTTTAATTGCTGTGCACCAAAAGGTTCTGTTCCAAGCAAAAAATGGATATGGTGTAGACTTGGAATTACAAGAAGAACATTTAAATAAAATGATAAAAATAATCTCAACAATGAGAGCAAGTGGAAAAAATGCACTCCAAATTTTCCAGAAAGGAATGATAAACTCAATGAAATCCCTAATTGATCTTTTTCAAGATATGAAATCGACTTTTGATATAAAATACATCTGCACTCACAATTTAAATCAAGATTGTCTGGAAAACTTTTTTTTTTTCAAATTAGAAGCCGGTGTCCTAATGAACATCCAAGCCCATTAAATGATTTAATATTTTATCGTATTTTGTTATTTGAAAGATCTGTCATGTTGAAGTAGAGGGCTTGCTGTGACGTCACTTAGATCCAAGGTCACGCTAACAAATATACGGGATATGGCTATCCTTGTAGTTTAAAGTCTTTGGGTAGGGCCGGGTAAAATTATACAGGCCTACACATATAGGTATATTACACCTAAAAATTGAAATTTACCTTACTTAATGAAAAAAAAATAAATGAATTTTAATAATAAAACTTTACCCCGCCCTATCCGTCATACATATAGTTACTGAACGGCCCATGTGGAGTTTTTCACATTTTCCACATGGCCAGTCCGCCCCTGGTTCATGCTTATTTTTGTTGTTATTTTACGACCTTTGTGATTTCGGTATTCCGCAAATTTAAAATATATGCTCTCCACCTCAAATTAGCAGTGTCTTGCCACTGTACATCATACTTTTTCTTTAACAATAGAGTCGTGTCGGTCATCTATTAACTACTTTCGGGGGAAAGGTTTTGAATTGAAATAACGTGATTTCCGGTCTGCATCGGAAGTTCGTATACAGTTAATCGGGTCCACCTGTCCCTAAGGTTTTCATATCTGGTCTAGGGTTTGTAATTGAAAAATTGATAAGAAGTTATACGGAGAATAGAAAGAGAATGGTAACAAGAAAGAACAAAATAACTTAAGTTTACGTATAACAAGAACATGACCGGTGTTATGAATGAAATAGCATTTTACCAATATTTCCAGAGAGATTTTCAAGAGAGCGCCCACCGTTTATAATCTTTTAAGGAATAATAAAGTTAAAAAACGAGAGCAGGCTGGAGTATATAGAATGTCGTATAAAAATGAACAATTGGGTTTGGAGAAAAAACACATAAGGATTACAAACAGAAACTTCAATAAACGTCTTGAAAAACATACGTAAAATATTGAGAAAAGGTAGTATTGTACGGCTTTGTCAAGAATGGTGCAAAGCGAAGGCTCAGTGGTAGAAAGGGAGGAAGCTAGCATTGTAAAACCGGTACACTCACGATGAATTTGGAAAAAAAATTTATAGAAGTAACCTTTTGGGCAGATGTATGCAGTGGTGATATTCAGCGGGTTCGCACAGGTTCGGCCGAACCCGTTGTTAACATTTTCAAAGTTTTCAGAACCTTGTTAAACACATGTAACATTTCTCAATGGTTTGATTCTTTTGAAAATATTAAAATATACGTATTATACTCTGTAACACTACTAAACTAGAGGCTTCCGATGCACCATTTGAGCGAAAAAAAAATTGTTAAGGAAAAATTTTCTGTTAGCGAACCCTTTGTTAAATATTTCGAATGTCATCACTGGATGTATCAACTATAAGAATGCCACAGCGTAGAAATATATGGTCAAAAAGAACTTTATTAGAGAATAGTGCATAATGTCCATACAACCAAAAACTGATATTATGAATGTAATCTTTTTTATTTTTATCTATTTTATTTTAAATTGTATATATATTACTGTAAT